TGCTGGGGTAAGTCACTTGTTAATCTCACATTTCCTTTTTTTCCTGGAGTGTTATCTTAGACATTCAAGATGAGATATTGCTTTGAGAAAAGAGATCAAGCTTATATTGTAGACCAGGGTTCATTAAATCCACTCAATTCACGAAGCAGATTTTCTTCTTTGTCTTTAAGCTTTCTTTATCCAGGGAAGGTTTTGCTGAGCACGCATGCTCTTTTCCAGCTAAACCCTGTTCCTCATTAGCACCAGCGCAGATACTCACACCTGGGAGCTACCCAGTCCAGCCACAAATCTTTTACTGTTTGCCAATTAGCATCTTGTTTTAAGTCTTCAGGGGGATATGTGTTCCTTTAAATGAATTCCTACTCAAAATCCCTTTAAGAATTAAACACACCTGGCCTGTATTTGACTATAAGCAAAGTTTGCATGTGCTAAATTGTTTGTGGAGGGCAGTGTCACTCCACAGACATGGTTATATTGGATATAATGCCTTTGCAAAACAAATAGGTCCAGTTATGACACACTTTCAAGGCAAAAAATACACTTCATCTTCACAGTGTTTGCCAAAATCTGACTCAATTCGGTGTGTCTCGCTACTTCTTTTAACCTCCTCTGCTATGGGTCAAAATCAGCCTAATCGGGTGCCAGTTTCGCTCACTGGGTTAAGTAGGCGACCCATACGCCGCAAGGCCACTGCAGAGGCCCGGGTTTCATTCTGCCCTGAGCCATTTCCTTCGTGTCATTCCCCCTGCTCTCTTTCCCTCCTTTCCTGTCTGCTTCACCGACTTATCCAGCAATAAGTCTGCTATAAACAAAAACAAACTTGGCTTGATCTTGCTATGGGAGTACATAAACCCAATATAGTTACTAAAACCAAACAGACAATTAGTCAGATAAGCATAAATGCTACTTCAGGATGTCATTATAGATAATGTGTGTGGTTAACTAGCAAGGTTAGGGTTTGAGAGGACGCTTCATGTGTGCTGTGTGTGAGGGGAGTAGGGGGCAAGAGGGGAGTAAGCTAAGAATTGTGAACAAAGTAAATGGAATAACGTGTAAAAGGTTTAAATGGCAAGCATATTCAATAAGCTGTGTGAATGATGCATGGATTTGTGTGTATATTCCTCGGAATTGCCCCGTGCATGTGAAGCTATGTGTTTACGTGTGTGTTCATGTATGCTTGTCTGTCTGTGACTCTATGCCTGCATCTGCGTGTGTGCATGTGTGTAGAGGGGCTGTCAGTTTCGGTCTGGTAGTCACCATAATTAGAAGTCTCTCTTTTACCCCTGTCTCCTGCTTGCTTTTCCCTTTCTCTCGCTCTCTCTCCTCCGCTGAGTCTAGCCTTCTTTTCCTTTTACTTCTCCCTTTTCTCTGTTTCGATATTTTCAATTCTTTCTCTACCTCTTTCCTCCTCCTACACTCTCTCGCACCCTCTGAGTGATGAGTTTTAAATCATCCTTTCATTCTTGCGCAGTGATGAACGAGGAGGAAATCTGTCCTTTTCTCTTTGTTTATTCAGCTCTCCATCTCTGTCCCTCTGTCTCTTTTTCGCTCTTTATTCACCCCACCTTGTGTCCTCGGTTTTCTGTATAATGAAGTTGCCTAATCTAGGCAAAGATACCCTTAGATGTGTAAGTACACACAGAATTGTAAGTCATATTTGCATATTGTGATGACTTCACATTTAATGTTCAATTTTGTTTAGAAACAAAAGCAAAATAAGCTACACCAAGCAAATAAGTCTAAAAAACAGACAAATCCAAATTCAAGTACTATCCAAAAGTCATTTGAATCAGTTATCACTTGATTAGACTCAAAGAAATCAACGACATTTGCTCTTTGTATTTGTGTTCATATCTTTTCCCTTTATGAATTGTGGTTTCTGTTAAACTCTCCTTGAAACATTTCATTGTATGCTGGTTAAGAACCACATGGGCCTTCTAGTTTTGAACTGGGAAAATGGCAGATAAGTATCTTGTTTTCTTGCTGTACCTTGCAAAATCTTCTTCTTTATTGTTGTTGTTTTCTTCCCTTTTCTTCTTCACTCCTTTGACCTCATTAAAAATATGTAGACAGGGTGACCAGCGGCATGTTAGGTTTGTAGGTATGCGTGTTTGTGCACAGGTATCCCCTCATATGGCTTAGCTTGTCCCTCCCGGTTGCCCAACATCTCATCTCTGATTGGTTGTGAAGGGATAGAGATACCAGCCCTTAATTGGAGCCAAGGCTGCCATTGGTGATTACATCTGTCACTGTGATAGCCTTGGAATAGTCTGGGTAAATGAGGGTTGGACAAACACCACACATGCACAGACATCAGCACACACAGATGCACGCGCGCACACACACACGCACAGACAGACACACATCATTTTGGTTGGGATGCTGTCTTGGATAATTGGTTCGAAAAGCATCCAGCGGGATCGTCCCTGCTGTCCCCGTGGCCCTGGCTGCCATGGTAAATAACAAGGCTCATAAACATGAAAGTCAGGGGGATGATCATCCTGATTTGAGCTTTGCACTCAGATGAGATTGATGAAAGCCTAGAAGTTTAAAGGACTTTGAACATCCAATAATAGCATTTTTCAGCAAAACACTTTCATTTATAGCTAAAACAGCACAGCAAAGCCAAACAACTGTGGCATTAAAGGCTCTTGAAAACTATTTTAAGGCTTTTTTTCTCTTTATTCTGTTCATTTGAATGTTTGCTGATTGTACATGGTTAAAAAACAAGACTAACAACACCTTTATAGGTTAATGGGAAAATTATTTAAAACAGGCATAAATGTTTAGCAATTTGTAATATTTTTTCTTGGCAAGAAGACATGCATTTATAACAGCAAGCGTCTTTGCTGTAGTGTCCTTCAACAGAATAATGTTAAATCCTTACCAGGTACAATGGTTTCTCCTCTGTGAGCTTACTCTGCAATCTCACCTCCCTGTGAAGTACAAGAAGTGAACAGTTTCTCCATCGGGGATCAATAGAGCATTGCAAGCAGTAGCCTGGACCGACTTCAGTCCTGGACACTCCAAGGTTTTCATCTAGCACCTGTAGTGTATTTGATATAAAAGGATCATTAAGATCAAAGGGAGAAGATAATGATACTGATGTGAACTGTAAAGTCCAAGGAGATCAATTACATTTACATTTTATAATTTAGGCATTTAGCAGGTGCTGTAACCCGGAGAGATTTAAAATAAGTACAGCAGCAGGATTAGCTTCACTTCTAATTTATCAGTACATGAACCTTATAAAAGAAAGTGCAAAGGATCACTGTTGCTGTATTAAACCTTTCTTTCAACTTATTGCCATATCATTAGAAAATGTCTGCAGGAATTACACTTCTCGTAGTTTTACTGTTTTAGTAGAATACCACAAGCAGTGCTTCTTAGCAACAACGCGTCATCCTTTATGACTACTTAACTCGAAACCTGAACTTTAATAACTTCTAACAAGCAGTTCTGAATGACTGACCATAGTTTAAGTCTAATACTGCACTAATATCATTCACAATTGCTTGATTATCCAGTGCTTTACTCACAGGGAAAAAAGCATTGGGAAGCAAGAAAAGCATATTTACTGTTGTCACAAAAAATATAGATTTTTTGTTGTAGTTGATGTTAGAAGTTAGTTTTGCACCTGTCCCTCTAGACCCATATTTTGCACCAATATTTTGTGCTGTAGTTGATTTAGATGTCAGGTTTGCACCCCTCCACCCCCCTAAACCCACTTTCTTTGTCTCCTCCTGCTACCAGCCTGCCACCACATAAACAAAGTCATTTAAAGAGCCTATAGGAGCTCATTAAGATCAAGTAGTATTTATCTTCTCCATCCCTGAAGAATTCATTAACTGTTTTTGATGTTGTATGGTGCGAGCAAGAGCGTAATCGGTGTCGTTTTTCATTTTCAGTTGTTGTAGATGGATGTCTCAACAAAACAAAGCAAATGGTTATTCTGTACAGCTATAAATTGCCGAGTCATGTTCAAAGGCACTGCCGCTGACTGACACACCCCTTTGCTTGTTGTGCATTTTAACATGTCAGTAATTGATTAGCAGCAAACAAAGGAATTGCCAGCTTTTGATCTTGCAGATGCCCATAGGATGAATCCAGGAGAATGCACCGGTCTCGCATTGATTTCACCTTTTAAGTGAGCTGGAAAGGTTGCTCAGTGGCAAAAGAGATTCCAGTCACTCGGGGGACCCGAGTTCAAGCACCCCATGCTGAATGTGAATACCACTTCCTGGGGTGCTGTTCTGAAGTCCTGCCCCTGCCCCATGCCGTCACTGTGAAGGAGTGCATCACAAACTATAGATAAGCAGCGCTACCCTAGAAGAAGTTCTGGGAAGTACTTACTTCTATGATCTTCATATATTTCTATTAATACGTAATCATAGATCAGCATCAAAGACCAGGATATATCAAAACGAAGCTGACCTACTTAATATCACTCATGCTGACTCGTGGCTTCTTAGTTCATTCATTAAAAGCAATGTTTTGTATATTTTTTTTCTTTTGACTTTTTAGTGGTCTTACATAAAATAATAATGAATAATTGACCGTCACTTCTAATGGTTGTGTTTAAAAAAAAGCAGTAATAAGTACTTGTTAGTGTGCGTATGTGTGGTTTTGTGTACAGTTTGAATGTGCTATGCAGTTACTACTCTGTCATAATGACAACTGAACCAGCTTTAATACACTGGCAGTTACACACTGATGCTGTTGCAACTGCACGTGCTGAGGAAGACTCACGGCTGCACTTACAATAAATAGTTGTGCGACAGTTACGAAATCCTTTTGTCACAATGGGCAGACATACGGAGGTGTAACTTCTAGCATCATCACTCTTTCACGTTTTAAAATATTGAATGATGAACATTAAACATTTTGAGAGTTCAATTATCTTGATTTATTATAATGTCTTAAGGTCACAACTTCAGTTTGACACCTTTATGTTTTCTTCCTCTAACTTAAGATGTGCTCAAATCTCTTTTCTCTTTCAGGTTTTATCTACACATGCGGGGGTACACTGAAAGGTCGAAATGGCAGTATAGAATCTCCTGGCTTTCCCTATGGCTACCCAAATGGAGCAAACTGCACCTGGGTCATTGTTGGAGAGGAAGGAAGTAGAATCCAGCTCATCTTCTTGTCATTTGCCATAGAAGAAGAGTATGACTTCCTGTCGTTGTACGACGGACATCCCCACCCTGCTAACTTCAGGACCAGGTAGGGCAGTTTTTATGTGTTATTCTTTTCAATTTTTCTTTTTTCATTTTCTTTTTTTTAAAGCAAGCGTTCATTTTGTCAAAGGAGAGAAATATGAAAACATTTAAAGCTTCAAACTGTTCTCATCCTATAATCTCATTAAAAATGAAGCATCGAATAAACTAAAAAATGCAGAGATCCGTCTCACATTTTGAGTTTTAATATCAATACAAATTGCTTAAGTAAAAGAAAACGTCCTTCTAACAGATACTGACACTACGGATGTTGCCCGAATTCTTTTAAGCAATGTTCACGTGGTGTTAAATGACCTTTGATAGCAACAGGGTGATCCACATTTGGTTTGCGGCAGCAATCACTGCCACTGCGGCTTCCTTTAGTTATTGAATTAGTTTATTGAGCTCTTCTTGCAAGAAACACAATACCCTGAAAGAATCTTGTTTTAGATAAGCTTTTAAACTCTACTTGTATGATTTTATCAGTCAATCAGTGGAGCTTAATAGCATCTGTCTGTGACTCTATTCACATTCAACATGTTCCTTTAACCCTGAAATGAATTTTTTTTGTTTTTTTATTAACTGTGAAATGTGAGAACACTGTTTAAATGTTTAAATGTCACTGCACACTGTACAAAGTGTTTAGGATGTTGGTTCACAAAAAGTAACTCAATTATATAAATGCAAATTAATTTTTTTTTGTGGTTCATTCACACAAAATCATCCCTTAAAGATGGACTTATTGTTATAAGCCAGCTAATCAATAACATCTCACGTCCAAATCTGGTGAATGAAAATAATCAAAGTAATAAAAGACAACAAACATTGCAACCAATTTAGTATTGGAAGAAAGACATTGTTTATAGAGCATAGCTGTTATTAACTGTTTTGTTTAATGCTTCACTAAGTTTTCTATGTCTTGGTCACATCAGTTATTCAAATTAAATAAACAAGCAAAAATAGAAACCAACTGTGACTCAGAAAGTGAATTTTTTTTTTTTTTTGTGTGGATTTGGTCATCCATGTGGGACGACTTTTTTTTTTCAGTGAAGACTATCCAAGCCAAAGCAAGGTAAGCAACCACACGAAAGAAAATTCCCAAGATTTTGTTCTTTCTTTGTGTTTTTGTCTTCACTTTGTAGTGGATTTGAAGTTGGCTAAGCTTGGTTTCTAAAAGGCTTACAGTGAAGTCTGATCAAACCACACAGCCCCACAGTCCCAACAAAGCAGTTTCTAGTTTTCGTTCAAATCAGATAATCCGCATATCATATAATATAAGGTCTGATGTCACAACCTCGTTTTGCATATCTCATCGGACAAATTATGAACAGAAGCTTCCACTGTTGATGGAAAGATTTCTTTAATTACATCAGGCATGTGTGAGGCAACTATCAACAATATAGTGCCAGGAGAGAAAATCTGGTTTGGTTCAGTTGAGGAAAAAGGATTTGGGTCATGTAGAAATGAAATGAGTCGCCTTGATACTTGTCATGGGGAATGAACTGTTTTCATTAGCTTCAACAGGCATAATTTCTAATCAGCGAGCTGCACTAATCAACCTTTCTCGGACGTGGCGTTTAGGGCTCAAATTGCCATACAGAGTTAATTAAACAAGAGAGGAAAAGAATGGAACAAAACAGAAGAGAATACAAAAGGAAATAAGGTGACTAGGTGATTTTTGCCAGGTTATATAAAATTCTTGTTTCCACAAAGACAAAGAGACTTTCTCCCGACTCCAGTCTAAAGAAACTGGAGCTGGGAGAAAGTCAGAGATGCCCTCTGTGCTCTTATTGGCTGATTAGGATTCTTTGCTTATCTAAGATAACAGAAGATAATGTGTTGTGTGAATGCATTCATGTCCATAGGTTTGTCTGTGCTTGTCTGTGTGTGTATGTGTGTGCCTGTGGGGAAGATTTATGGCATGCATAATTCCAGTCGCCTTGCTACGTAAGCCAAACCTGTGGCTTATTCTCCTGCAGTCTCTTTTTCACTCTTTCATTACTTAAAACAGACATAGACACATAGCAACAAATTGTAATTTCATTGTCAACATAATACAAATGTAAGTGATTAAATACACTGGAGAAGACTGCACGATACGCTGCAAGTCATTTGTTCCCACTCACACACATGCAAATATTTGACCTTGCTCAGTAAAAACATATTTTATGGGGTGGCGCAGTGGTGCAGTAGTTATCACTGTCTCCTCACAGTAAGGTCCTCCAGCTGACTGAGGCCTTTCTGTGTGGCGGTCTCTCCTGGTGCTCTGGCTTCCGTCCATAGACATGCTTGTTAAGTTAATTGGTGATTCTAAATTGGCTGTGAGTGTGAAAGGTTGTCTGTCTCTCTGCGTTAGCCCTGTAATAGACAGCCAACCAGTAAAGGGTGTGTCCTGCCTCTCACCCTGTGACACAGTTTAGGCTCCTGCGACCCTAAATTGGATAGAAAAATATTCGATGAGCTTAGAAAAAGACACATTTCTCTATTCCTTCTTTTTGTTTTTTTGTTTTTTTTCATATTTTTTCCAAATCCTTTACAATTTGAGAACTGGGAAAAAAAAGGAAAATGCCCTGCACTGCATCTCAGCTATATAGGTGTGGTGTCACAATCGATACATAAAAAATAAGAAGAATTTGTGTTATTGAAAATATGAATATTAAAATATTCAACTTTTTAATAGTTTTTAGCCTAAAAGCAGTTATTTGGGGTTTCATGGTTCAAGCTTGACCGTTGCTGTAAAAGTGATCTTTTTTTTAAAAAATGCATTAAAACTGTCACCGTTCTTTTTTTTCTTTTTCAGTTAAAAAGCCTTAAATTCTTGGGTTTCTTTGCGGTAAAGTTGAAATGACATTTTTACATTTTTGTCGCCACCTGTCTCACCTTGACTAGTATCTGAAAGTAAAAGCATTTTTTAAGAGTAAATTTCTGTTCTTTTTAAATAACTATTATTATTGACAACATCAAAGGTGATGCTGTCTATCAACTGGAAATTAAATCTATTTGTGAATTTCTTCTACAATCACATTAATCAAGGTATAAAAACATTTTTCCCACTGCAAGTTGCCATCAGTGAGTAAAGGTCACCTTCCCTGATTTCTGCATGATAAAAAAAAGCCCCAGTGCAACTTTGAAATAACAGTTCCTCTCTGCCCCAGTCGATTATTTATTGACTCTAGCTGGAAGTTAAAATTATTGACTGTGATAAACTGGGTTTTGAACTTTGGGATGGTCTCACCTGCCTGTTCTCTTCTTGATCTTGGTGCAACAAATAGATATGATGAATGGAGTTCATATAAGCCAGGAAACATCTGGGGATCACACACTGTGACTAGCACATTCAAGACATTTTTATGCGATTAGTAACTGGCTCAAATCAGGCTTTCAGGCTGGAATTTCTGCATATGTTATTTAAAAAAAAAATACTCTAATTGACAAATGATCCACAGTGTCTTGACAAAGTGAAGTAGTATTATTGCAAAGCAAAACCATTTAGGAAACACAGCAACTCAGCCATAAAGTTACAGACCATGTAAATTTACAGAGTGGAGTCGCTGAGTGCTGAGGTGTAGGTGTCACTGTACTTTCGTCCATATAGTCTTTTTCTGGTAGAGAAACTGAGACGTTTTCTAATACACTATGAATCATGTTATTTCTCTGAAAAAAAGATGTGAGGGTTTTTTTGTTTGTTTTCTTTTTTGTTTTTTACATGACTACCTACAATTTCATGGGCAGTCAGTGGAAACAGTACTTTAACATGTTTCTCAGTTTTAGTTGGTCTGTGTTTTGATTTATTTCAAGGAATGCTGCATGAACAACACAGTACTCCAATTATTCATGCAACATGCAGTTCATGCCAAATACCCTTGGTTTTCAGACTTTCTAGGCCAGATAATCAAATAAACCAAAGTCAAAAATCTGCTTTACTTAATGCAACTAAGAGCAGTGGGTCATCATCAAGAGCAACATGGGTCATGCTCAACATTCCTTCCAAATGCTTCCCTTTGAATCTGCTCAGCTGAACAATACATTTAAAGCACTGGACAGTGCAGTGCACAGACAGGGCAGTGGCCACCCATGGTGCATGTTGTTAACATCTCTGTCATTGAGGACGTGGGTTAGCACAATATTTGTATATTGTGTATATATTTCCCACTGTGCATAGCTTTGGATACTGGGTCACAAGTTTCTGTGACTGAATTTTTATTTATTTTTTATTTTTTGAATTGAAACCATGGTAAGGTATCAGGTGGCACATAAACTGTTGGAGTAGAAGACGTGACTGGGACTTCAGAGACTTTACCAGCTGTCTGAAAATTAATCATGTGTGAGCGCCAAGAGAGCATCTGAGAGTTTTTGGCCATGCATGGATAGATGGATAAAATACAAGTATTAAATGATGGAAGACACAGTAAGGGGTTTCTGTCACCAGACTTTCAGGATTAAAATGCGAAATTACCAGATTTAGGATTTGATCGCTGTGGTGTGACTACATGGTTCTTACAGTTACTCAGATTCAATGTAAACGTTTACATTATACATGAATTCTTCTGTGATTCATTTTTAAATTGTTTGATTTTTCCCCCTCTTCGTGTTATCCTTTCTTCATCCGAATGTCCAGTCAAAACTGTTGATGTGTGTATATTTTATCTGTAGGATCCTGACAGATGACTTAGTGGCTTTCATTCAACTCGCTTGGACTTTTGTACTGGTTCAGATACCATGGTAGCTTTACATGTGCAAAATGCAGATACAATTGTGTTTTCCATTGAGTAAGTGCACAGTCATGTTCACAAAATGAAAAAAGAAATGTGGGGTTGTAGCAGGTCACTGCATGAATATTTGATCAGTGCAATCTGTCAGTCTGTCCATTTCATCCTGTGGCTAGATTTGTTGTGTGCAAGCAAATCTGTTTTCAAGCCATTTACTCAAGTAAACTAGGTTTGTGCAGATGCATTTCAACAATAAAAGCCACAGGAGGAAACCTAAAGATAGTATTTGTGATATCAG